ATTCAATCCTCCAAATGGAGGCTTCCTAGAATAGGAGTACCCCTAAATCATCCATTTTCATGAGGTTTTCCATTAAATGTGGCTAAAACGATGCCATAAACAACCCATTTGGGAATGCTTTATACCACCTATTTATGGTGATGACTGGGGGATGGTCCAAATGACATTGTTTTACCCACATGGTTTACCCTAGTGATCATCCTCGAATGGGACCCCCAGGGTTGACATGAAGAAGTAGCAATCCCGAAAAGATAGAAACATCTGGTTGGTTATAATAGGTGTATCATGATTAAACAATGGTTAATAATGGTTAATAATGATCATAATAATGGTGATTCATGATGACTCATGATGGTTGATGATGATCTGGTTGGTGGTGCAATAACCATCTTTAAAAATATGAGTTTCGTCAATGGGAAGGATGACATCCCATATATATGATGGAAAATAAAAATATTTGAAACCATCAACCAGATATTCTAAGGTTCATGTCATGAATCATATGGTGATTTTCAATGGAAAATAAAATTCATCTTTAAAACCACCAACCAGTGATTATTAGCCATTATTAACCATCATTAACCATCATTACCCCATACATTTCAACCACCAACCAGCAACCAGCCATCCATTTTTGGGGATCCCCCATGGCCATGGAAACCTCCGAAATTTTCCCGTCCCCGCCTCCAAGAGCCGCAGTTTCACGAAGAACAAATCGCAGCGGATGCTGTTGCGGATTCCATCGTTGAAGGTGGCGCGATAGCAACCCGTGCCTGAGAAAACCGTTCTTTTATAATAGTTAGTTAATAGTTATTAGTATTAACTATATATATATATTTATATAGTTATAGTTATAGTTATCATATATATATATAGATATTATTATTGCATATTCTTGTTTCATAGTTATCCTTTTCTAACATATATTCTGATCAAAGGAAGTTTAGGGGGAGAAACTTCCGTGTTACGGACTTTTAGAATGTCAGGGAAAGAGTTAGTCAAAGAAAGAGTTAGCAAAGAAAGAGTTCGTCAGGGAAAGAGTTAGTCAAACCAAGAGTTAGCAAAGAAAGGGTTCGTCAGGGAAAGAGTTAGTCAAAGAAAGAGTTAGTCAAAGAAACAGTAAGTCAGGAAAAGAGTTAGTCAAAGAAAGAGTTAGTGAGGGAAAGAGTTAGTCAAAAAAAGAGTTAGCAAAGAAACAGTTAGTCAGGGAAAGAGTTAGTCAAAGAAAGAGTTAGTGAGGGAAAGAGTTAGTCAAAGAAAGAGATAGTGAGGGAAAGAGTTAGTCAAAGAAAGGGTTAGCAAAGAAACAGTTAGTCAGGGAAAGAGTTAGTCAAAGAAAGAGTTAGTGAGGGAAGAGTTAGTCAAAGAAAGAGTTAGCAAAGAAACAGTTAGTCAGGGAAAGAGTTAGTCAAAGAAAGAGTTAGTGAGGGAAAGAGTTAGTAAAAGAAAGAGTTAGTCAGGATATATGAGGTAGTCAAAGCAAGAGTTAGCAAAGAAACAAGTTAGTCAAAAAAAGAGTTAGTGAGGGAAAGAGTTAGTCAAAGAAAGAGTTAGCAAAGAAACAGTTAGTCAGGGAAAGAGTTAGTCAAAGAAAGAGTTAGTGAGGGAAAGAGTTAGTCACAGAAAGAGTTAGCAAAGAAATTGTTCCCTGAATGTAAATGGGATTGCAAGTGGTGCTGGTGGATGAGTTGCCGATGGAGTTTTGAAGGAAGTCTCGCACGAAATGCGTTTTTGAGAGATAGCAGATGCACGAAAGCCTATGTTTTTCCATACAAAGTTCGTCCCCGAACCTCGATGATCTATACCTCTGCGGTGCGACGGGTGCGAGACGGTCTCGTGTGTGGTCGGATCATGGTCGGATATTCTCGGATCATGTTCGGATCGGTTCCGCATTGTAAATGGGGTTTCAACTGTTTTTCGTGCATGTGTGGTCGACAGAATTCCATTGTGATTTGCAACTGTAGGATCGTTCCCGCATTGTAAATAGGGTTGCAAGTGGTGCTGGTGGCTGAGTTGCTGATGGAATTCCATTGTGATTTGCAACTCTAGGATCGTTCCCTCACTGTAAATGGGATTGCAAGTGGTGCTGGTGGATGAGTTGCCGATGGAGTTTTGGAGGAAGTCTCGCACGAAATGCGTTTTTGAGAGATAGCAGATGCACGAAAACCTATGTTTTTCCATACAAAGTCCGTCCCCGAACCTCGATGATCTACCTCTGCGGTGCGACGGGTGCGAGACGGTCTCGTGTGTGGTCGGATCATGCTCGGATATTCTCGGATCGGTCTCGGATCGGTTCCGCATTGTAAATGGGGTTTCAACTGTTTTTCGTGCATGTGTGGTCGACAGAATTCCATTGTGATTTGCAACTGTAGGATCGTTCCCGCATTGTAAATGGGGTTGCAAGTGGTGCTGGTGGATGAGTTGCCGATGGAGTTTTGGAGGAAGTCTCGCACGAAATGCGTCTTTGAGAGATAGCAGATGCACGAAACCCTATGTTTTTCCATACAAAGTCCGTCCCCGAACCTCGATGATCTACCTCTGCGGCGGAAGTGATTTGTCAGCAGATTTTCTCCATTTTGGTGCTAGTGATTTTCCTTCTAAAAATCCTTTTAAAAAGTGCTTCAAAATCGTCTTTTTTTCGCTCTGGCGTCGAGATCCGGTTTTGGAGCTACAATTTCCGACGCCATTGCGCGTAGTTCTATTGTGTTTTGCAACTCAGTCTCCGCAGATCGCATTGGAATGGCTGCGTCAAGGTTGCTTCTTGCTTTGGCTGTATGCGTAATGTCTCTTGCAGCTGGATCTCGTAAATCGTATTGGAGTGGCTGCATGAAGGCTGCGACAGTGATTTGTTAGCAGATTTTTCTCCATTTTGGCGCTAGTGATTTTCCTTCTAAAAATCCTTTTAAAAAGTGCTTCAAAATCGTCTTTTTTTCGCTCTGGCGTCGAGATCCGGTTTTGGAGCTACAATTTCCGACGCCATTGCACGTAGTTCTCTTGTGTTTTGCAACTCAGTCTCCGCAGATCGCATTGGAATGGCTGCGTCAAGGAGTTTTGAAGGAAGTCTCGCACGAAATGCGTTTTTGGCGCTAGTGATTTTCCTTCTAAAAATCCTTTTAAAAAGTGCTTCAAAATCGTCTTTTTTTCGCTCTGGCGTCGAGATCCGGTTTTGGAGATACAATTTCCGACGCCGTTGCGCGTAGTTCTATTGTGTTTTGCAACTCAGTCTCCGCAGATCGCATTGTAATGGCTGTGTCAAGGTTGCTTCATGCTGTGGCTGCATGCGTAATACTATTGTCTTTTGCAGCTGGACTTCGTAAATCGTATTGGAGTGGCTGCATGAAGGCTGCGACAGTGATTTGTCAGCAGATTTTCTCCATTTTGGCGCTAGCGATTTTCCTTCTAAAAATCCTTTTAAAAAGTGCTTCAAAATCGTCTTTTTTTCGCTCTGGCGTCGAGATCCGGTTTTGGAGCTACAATTTCCGATGCCATTGCGCGTAGTTCTCTTGTGTTTTGCAACTCAGTCTCCGCAGATCGCATTGGAATGGCTGTGTCAAGGTTGCTTCTTGCTTTGGCTGCATGCCTAATGTCTTTTGCAGCTGGATCTCGTACATCGTCTTGGAATGGCTGCATGAAGGCTGCGAAATGGATTTGTTAGCAGATTTTCTCCATTTTGGCGCTAGTGTTTTTTTGTTGCACGTAGGTTTAGAGCAGTGTGAAGTGTGGGGCATGAAGAGTGCAGTGTGAAGTGTGCAGTGTGAAGGAAGCAGTGGGAAGTGAGAAGTGTGAAGTGTGGAGCGTGAAGTTTTAAGTTTGGAGTGCGAAGAGCGCAGTGTGAAGTGTGAAGTGTGAAGTGTGAGGTTTGGAGTGTGAAGGAAGCAGTGAGAAGTGTGAAGTCTGAAGTGTGAAGTGTGGAGTGTGAAGTGTGGAGTGTGAAGTGTGGAGTGTGAAGTTTCAGTTTGGAGTGCGAAGAGCGCAGTGTGAAGTGTGAAGTGTGAGGTTTGGAGTGTGAAGGAAGCAGTGAGAAGTGAGAAGTGTGAAGTGTGGAGTGTGAAGTGTGGAGTGTGAAGTTTCAGTTTGGAGTGCGAAGAGCGCAGTGTGAAGTGTGAAGTGTGAAGTGTGAGGTTTGGAGTGTGAAGGAAGCAGTGAGAAGTGAGAAGTGTGAAGTGTGGACTGTGAAGTGTGAAGTGTGTGTGAAGTGTTGTGAAGTGCGAAGAGTGCAGTGTGAAGTGTGGAGTGTGGAGTGTGAAGACTTTGCTTCGTCTCTCGCTGCAAAAATCAAACGGTTGTCGAGGGAAGGACACGGTCGGGACAGGGTGTCTTTGAACTATAGGTCATTTATGTTTGGGAAACTTCCGCCGCCGGCTTGCCCGGGTCTATGTTATACTATAGGAATATAGATTTACTATGGGATTTACTATAGGAATATAGATTATATATTTTTGGGGGCCTATTTTAATCATGAATCTATTGCTGTGAATGGGAGATGTATTCGGAAAAGATGGGGGAAATCATTTGTAAATGGTGATTTACGAGGAACATCATGGGATATAAACAACCATGTAATATTTGAGAGTGTCTGGAAACAGGGTATCCCCCCAAAAAACGGGGTATTCCCCAAAAAAAAGGGGTATCCCCCCCAAAAAAAGGGGTATCCCCCCAAAAAAAGGGGTATCCCCCAAAAATGGCTAAAATGTGCTAAAATGATGAAAAACCATAAAAATTTGGGCATGTCCCGTAAGACAAAGCCAAATCATGAGCGATTTCAGGGATCGGGCTGGTTTCGATTCCACACATTTTGGACATCATTTCCAAGACAATGCTCAACATAATAGATACATACCTGGTTGGTGGTTTGGAACATTTTTTATTTTCCATTTCATATATGGGATGTCATCCTTCCATTGACTTTCATATTTTTCAGAGGGTTTGAAACCACCAGCCAGATACTCATGGTTGCCTTTTTTCCCTTTTTTCGCATGTTACTCACAACCACCTTCCTCCAGATGCGACGTCACCTATGTGACCAACCAGCAGTTGGGTTTCGACTATCTTCGCGACCAGATGGCCAAGCTGCCGAGCGACTTGCGCCTTCGACAGCACACGGCCTTTCACTGTGCCATTGTCGATGAAGCCGACTCGGTGCTGATTGATGAGGGGCGCACGCCCTTAGTGGTGTCGGCGCAACAGGAGTGGGCTGGCAGTTCTTGAGATTTAGAATCAATGGGGAAATAACTGTCATCTGTAAATGGGGATTTGATCGGAAGTTGGGAATATAATGGGATAGACTCTATAACATTATAACTACCCATTATGATGATGCATGGGTTTGTTTGAAAACGGGGAATTTAAGCCCAAGATGGCTATTTTACCGTGGATTTTGGGTGATTTTTGAGGTGACCCATTTTCAGCAAAACCAGAGCAGTAATTTCTTGAGGTCCATCCCCCAAGAATGAATGGGCTGATGTGACCCAGTGAGACTAACTACTAACTGCGGAAAGGCTTCCACCCCCAATAGTACGGGCTTAAGATTTAAGACTTGTCGAATCGTTTTTTCACTTGGCAGGATGTTCTAACTGCAGTGATGCCTTTTTAAATAGAAGTCACTCATATAACTTAACATATTCAGAGAATTCAATCTCTCCCATCCAACGTCTTTCTCAACGTCCTCCATCGCCAGGAGGTTCCATCCACCAAGTACAGCACCGCCCTGGCACTGGCCTCCGACTTGGTACCTTCGACGGATTACACGGTGCTGGAAAAGGAGAAGACCTGCACCCTGACGGAGCTTGGGGAAGAGAAGATCAGCCAGATTCTGGGGATCCGGGACTTATATGATCCTCAAGATCCGTGGGCACCTTATGTTGCTTGGAGATGATGCGATTTTTGAAACCTGAAGTTTTAGGACTTTAAAAGATGACAAAACAGCATGTTTTGATGGGTTTCATGCAGGTGATCCACCAGTCGAATGTTGGGAAACCACTTAGGATTTCCATGGGTATTGGTCTTGTTCATTCTTCGCAGCTCTTGGAATCTTTCTTGGACCCGGTCTATCCATAGGATGCCCGTAGCCTGCGTCACTGAATCTTGTGGGAATATGTTGGGTTTTTCAGTGCGATCCGTGCGATGTTTGAATTCCTTAACTTCTACAGAGCCGCCAGGATATGTATACTATATATATATATATAAACAAAGATTACATACATGTAGATAGATAGATGGATGGATGGATGGATGGATAGAGATAGAGAGAGAGATTTTAGATCCAGAAAATATCCCACTGAGACATCTACCACCAGCTCCCAGGTTGTGAATGCCCTGACTGCCAAAGAGCTCTACGTCCGGGAACGTCAGTACCTCGTGCGCGAGGCGCAGGTCGTGGTGGTGGACGAGTTCACGGGGCGGCCGGTGGAGGGCCGCAGCTGGAGCGATGGCCTGCAACAGGCCATTGAGGCGAAAGAAGGTGGGAACCAACTCGCAGAAACTGCCATTGAAAATGGCCATTGATGGTTGATTTACCCTCTGCTAATTTAACATAGCTATGGAAAATCATCATGATTAATGGGAAAATCCACTATAAATGGTCATTTTCAATAGCTATGTTAAATTACCAGAGGGTACCCATTAAAAATGGTGATTTTCCATAGTTTTTTGTATGTTTACCAGAGGCTAATCATTATTAAAATTATAATCATTATCCAATGATAGATAATCATTATAACTGGATATGATATTCATTAATGCGGGCACATGCCACTTTTACCATCCCCCAGTCATCACAATGTTTATAGGTGGTATGGTTGCCATTCCCAGTCATGGATGGTAAACATGGCATTGTTTTACCCTCATTACAACGATGTCCTTTCTCCATTGGTTAATAGATGATTCCCTACATTCAACAAGCAATAGGTAGATGATTATAACATATTATAAATGGTATACCAGACTGGCCCCTCTATTTTCCTGAAAGGGCGATATTGAGTACAACCATGGTGGAATGGAAAGGGATGCAACGAGGTTCAACCGGAGTTTAACAGTGATACTGGAACGATGGGATCTTTTTTAGGATTTTTTCCCCATGGAATATGGTCATCTATGGTAATCAGGAATGGTGTGGGATACATAGAATGATTAAAAACGGCAATTTCACAGAATTGAATTCCATGGCCTTTTACGGCCATGCATAGGTTTTAACGTGAATCTCACAGCGCCAAGCTGGGGGCCTTTTTTTTCACAGGTTGATGGTGATGAGGATTGACCCGCTGGGTCGGATCAGTGAAGAAGTTGGGTTTTTTGATCCCCGATGATCCCGTAGAGTATGATGATCCATAGCGTCTCACATTACCAATTAGTCCACTGAACATTTCAGATGAGTTGATGGTTACATATAGTGCGGCCCAATTATGGCGTTTACACATCGTATGGTTCATGAACTATTGAGATGAGGTAATGCGTCTACTGTGATTGCTGAAAAAAGTGTGCCTATTCGTGTGTATCAAACTGCCAACGCCAAATTTGATCAGTGAGGACTATGAGTAATTATGGTTATATGCACAAGAGGGGCGAAAATAAAACTATTTTGCTCTTGAACATGCGGTGGATGGAAGAAATCCTGCACCAGTTGATAAGTGGTTATCCCATTATTTATAGGGTTTCAACCATCCAAGGTGATGCAGGATTTCTTCCAACCACAGTAGGTATCTTAAAATATCCATATCATTAGTGATCCAACAGGTTGATACGATCCAACTTTGCCAGGTGTTCCAATTTCGAAAGAGGCCATCGTTTTGGCCTCCATCAGTTACCAATGCCTCTTCCGCTTATACCAGAAACTGGCCGGAATGACGGGGACCGCCTGGACCGAAAAGGATGAGTTTGAGAGCATCTACGATTTGAAGGCTGGGTTTCAAGCTGGTGAGCCATGAGTTGGACATCATTTGAGGCCAAACGAATTGAAAGACTATCGAAAGTCACTATAACATGGCATTTATTTCATTGTTTTGATTTGTTTGGTATGGGCATCTATAATAATTATAGGCCTATGTTTGCTCCTTGGTCAATTCCTGGTCTTTTAATGCCATGATTTTTGGCAGTCTTTGGCCAACCATGAAACTTTGAGATCTTTTGGCTGTCCCCTGGAAGGTGAGTCCCATTCCCAGCAACAAGCCGTGCCAACGACGTGATGAGGACGACGAAGTCTACACCAGCGAAGAGGGAAAATGGTCCGCTGTGGTGCGCGCGGTGCGCGAAGCACACAGCCTTCAGCGCCCGGTGCTGGTCGGCACCACGAGCATCGAAAATTCGGAGCGTTTGGCAAGGCACTTGGAGGCAGAAGGCGGGGAACTCTAGAGATTCCAATGGTTCTTGAAATGGGGGACCCCAAAGTCATCAACAAGAAGGGCATGATTAACGGGGCAAACTCATGGTTTTGGGGTATTGTCCGGAACAATTTGAGAAACACCATGAAACACCTATTTCGATAGTTTTTCGAAGATCTGATTAGAGTTTAATCGATGTTCTGTTTTTTCGTACTTACAACGATTCAACATCTGAGCATTTTTCGGTGAACTAGTATGAGATGTGTTGACGATGGTTGACGTGTATGGTGGACTCAGGTGTCCCGTACTACCTCCTGAACGCCAAGCCGGAGAACGCCTCCCGGGAGGCCGAAATCATTGCAGCGGGTGGGCGCTTAGGTGCTGTGACTATCTCCACTAACATGGCAGGCCGGGGGACAGACATCGTGCTGGGAGGTGATGCCAAAAGCATGGCTAAACTACATTTGCAGGCGGCATTGGTTGAAGCCTTTGGTCGCAAGGAAGAGGTATCCTTGGCCCTCTGCTTAGACCTTCCCGAAGAAATTGAAGAAGAGATGTCGCAGGCTGCCAGTGCTGTGGTGCATAGCAATCCCAGTGCTCAATTGGAGGCGGTGATGGCGGCGGTGTGTGACGGCATCGAGGATCCGCAAGCCCTGACCGTTGTGGCCTACCGAGATTCCTTGCACGCCTTGCAGACAGTTTACAGCAAGGCAGGGGTTCGAAGCTGGAAAGAATTGGGTGAACCGTCCCATCGAACTCCAAGCTTTTGCTGACTTTGGGCATTGTTTATGGGCTACACCTCGGTGAATCTGGTCACTTAATTCATCTTGATTCTCTTTTGTTGCTAAAACCGTACAGTCTCATCAACATGAAATATATGGGTTTGTCTGAGAAAAACAAGGGGTATCCCCAAATTCCACAGGCAATCATCGTTTTCCTCATTAGGGGGCGCCATTAGACGGACCCAAATATCAGATTGCTCATACTTATATATATCCCATGATATTCCCATAACACATCACCCAGTTATTCCCAGTTTCTAGATGTTTTTCCCCATTGAAAATCCAGTTCTCCCAGTTTCTAGATGTTCTTCTCCATCTAAAATCCAGTCAGAATCTTATGCCAATTGCCAAGTTATAGTTATATCCATCTCAATCTATACATCACATTTATCCCCATTTATCCAGACAGGATCTTATGCCATTTAGATCATTTTAGATCCACTTAGTCACTATATCCATGTTCTCCCTGCCATCAATGGCCATTCCAGGATCCAACAGATGGAGTTACTGTACCATATAAATCCATATAAGGCCATATTTTCTGGGGATATGGGTATGGATCAATACCTATTAATACCATTTTTAATGGGATCAACATCCATTGACCAGCTATTTTGATGTTCACCGGGGGTACAAGGTTTTGACACACTGCCATTTAGATCCACTTAGTCACTATATCCATGTTCTCGCTGCCAGGCCTGTCAGCAGCTGGGTCTCTCCTGTTCCGACGAATCTCTCCGCGTGGCGCAGCTGGGCGGTCTGCAGGTTTTGGGCACCGAGCGCCACGAGTCGCAACGCATCGATCGGCAGCTGCGGGGCCGTGCGGGGCGCCAAGGTCGCCGCCACAAAGGAACCCGTGGCGCCATGGGGGAATTTCCCACGAAAAATGGTGATTTACCCACTAAAAATGGTGATTTTCCCACTCAAAATGGCTATTTATAGTTGATTTACCATGATTTACCCACTAATAGCATGGTGATTTTCCGTTATGTGATATAGTTGACCAGAGGGTAACCATTGTTGAAATGCTATAGTAATTATCATCCATTAGTCATATGGTACCTAAAAATCATATATAACAATGGTACTTCAACCATAAATCTTTATCATGGAGGGTCTAGGTACTTTAATAGTGGCCATAAATCAGAGTTAACCAGAGTTTATAGACCACAAGTGACTGGCCATAAACTATAGAAATGTGGGTAAAACAATGGCATAAACCACCCACGACCGCGAATGGTAACCATACCACCTATAAACATGGTGGTGACTGGGGGATGGTAAAAGTGGCATTGTTTTACCCACATTACCCCAAATGGATGGTTTATTTCATGGAGAATCCCCATCCAAAAATGGGATGAGATAAGTGGGGGTAGCCTCATGACCTGTAGAATGGGAACTCGGGGGAACGTTTCTTTGCGAAAGATGGAAAAAAAACCACATCCACAATACCAATCACAATACCAGATATATTATACACTATATATTATACGTATATTATGCATAGATATATAATATATATAATATATATATATGTATAGATATTAAATTATTATGTATATATATATATAGAGGGAGAGAGAGCTATAGTCACCATTAAAACCTAGCGAATCTAGTTATAAACCAACTTGGCTACCCGTGGGGCACCACCTAAATACATCAGTGCATCATCACCTCACTATACCTCACTTCTGTTGGTTGCTATCCCTTCCTTTGGTGCATCGCCCCAATTGAATTACACCCCAAAAAGATTCAACCAGTTTTGAGGCCATGGAAAAGCTACATACTATATATCTATATATATAATATATATATAATATATATAATATATATATAATATATAATATATATATATATATATATAATATATATATATAATATACATATATATATATATATATATATATATTCATGCGTACACAGACACACCTTGGGCGATCGAACGTGGCTGGAACATGCCCCAAGTTGTGGCAGATGATTTCTCCAACAAAACCAGCAAGAGTTTTCCGGATGTCCGGTCAACCTTGGATGGTTACTTGAACATGTTTATCTTTTGCTAACTAAATCGGGATACTAAATGATGCTAATTCCCAACCACCTTCTTTTTTTGGGGATGCCGGGTCTCAGTGATTTTTGCCGTGGCAGGTGATCCAGGCAGTTCGCGGTTCTGCCTGAGTTTGGCGGACAAAGTCTTTCGCGTCTTTGGAGGCGACAGCATCCGGACGCTCACTGCTGACATGGGTGGCGCGGATGGGGTGCCCATCGTGTCGCCACTGTTGTCTGCAGCCTTGGACGAAGCACAATCTCAGGTGGGGACAACATCTTGGAATCTCCAATAGAAAATGGAATGTTTAGCAACCAAACCATGGTGGCTTAATGGTGAAATGGGAAAATAATGGAACCTTTATAGTGGAATGGCGAATGCCAATGTTCGGGTTGCACTGTAGGATCCTCCGGCAATTTATATAATGTCATTTGTAATTCAACAGCTTGTTATGGAAGATCACCACTGTTAATGGGAGTTAATGGGAACATCACCTATAAATGATGGCGCAGGATCAAGAATATCCCGTTTTTCAATAGGGGGTGCCAATTTGAATAGTAATGTGGAAAACTCCTTCGGGGGCAAACCCAATCAGCAAGGGTTTATCAATGAATCCGTTGGGATCGATTGGGACTGAACAGGATTTTGCAATTCATCCTGAAGAATCTGGATGATTCAACTCTCCGTTCCCATCAAACAAATGAAGCAACTCAATGAACTTTACATGTCACCTGTGAAATTTCGGAGCTTTCCATATCTTTACATCCTTTTCTCGGCACCGGTTGTGAGGTCCAAAGCTTTTTTTTCGGCATCCGCAAAGATGTCTTCGAGTACGACCAGGTGCTGGACCAGCAGCGGCAAGTGATCTACGCGCTGCGGCGCAAGGCACTGCTGGACAGCGATGCAGAGGTACTGAGGTCCCTGCAGAAGTTCTGTGAGGAAACGGCTGGGGGTTGGATGGGGAAATGCTTTGTTTATAATGTGGTTAAAACATGTTGAAACAATAATTGATAATAAACTGCCCATTTGGGAATGGTTAAAGATACCACACGTAAAAATGTTTATTATTGGTTTAACCACATATGGATTTTGTTGAATGATTTTGTTTGGAGATGGTGATATACATGTGTATATATATAATTATTATATATATCTGGCTGGTGGTTTCAAACATTTTTTATTTTCCATAATATATGGGATAATCCTTCCCATTGACTAATATGTTTCAAGATGGTTAAAACCACCAACCAGTATATATATATATATAGATAATCAGATAGATAAATATTGGCAATGGAATAGGCCTCAAAACCAACAATATGGTTTGGTTTGAACATGTTGGGGAAGCACCAAAAAGGTGGTTTTTGTCTTCAGACAGCGATGTCCGGTCTCCATTTTCAGACCAACCCTTTGAGACAGTCTGGCTTCCATAGAAAAATTGAGCAACATGACACACACACACACACAAAACATTAACAATTATACATTAATTTAGTTATAATACAACTATCATCAATAATGATATCAACTATCCTTCTAAGAATCAACTATCCCTCGATGACTCGATGTTTAAAGATGACTTCACTACCAGTGGGGACACTTTGAGGAGAGCATGTCTGAATTGGTTCAGCAGCTCTGTGGGGAAGCCGGTCCCGTCGCTTCGTGGCCTCTGAAGCGTTTGGCCACGAAACTCTCGGCCTGGTTCACTGGATCCTGGTCGGTGACGGTGGAGGAGCTGCAGCACTGGGAAGGCCAAGGCGAAGCCGAAAAAATGGAGGAAGCTGGACATGAAAATGCTGAGATGATCCACCCCCCAATGATTTAACCATCTTTGATGGATGATTATGGATGCTAACCGTCAATCCATATGGTGTGGTTTACTAAGTTTACTATTGCGGCACTATGGCACAAATGTGTCATCTACAGTGTTTGTCTTATGGTTTAAGTTTATGTGGCCCCGGTAACCGACCACCACTTTTGGGTTTCATCTAGTCAGCCATGCGTTGAAAATGGGTACAGCCAACCATCATAGGACTGCCCTCCAACGTTTTTTTTTTTGATAAACCAGGCGGGGAATGCGCAGTGATGGTCAATGTTAGTCGTTTCAAAGATTTTTTCCACCAAAAGAGCAAGGCGGAGGCCCTCAACCAAACTATATACTTGATAATTACTTCTTTTCTCCACCCAACAAATCCAAAAAAATGTGATGCTCCCAACTGCCTGGCATGTTCTTTGGGGTTCTTTGGGGTTCTTTGGGTGTCTACCAGGAAATGACCCGCTGGATTCAGCAGGGCGCTTTGGATGCCATGAAGCGAAAAGCCAGCCGCATCGATGAGGATGCGCCGGAGCTCAGTAGCGCAGTGTATCGGCAGGTGCTCTTGATGCAGATCGACAACTACTGGCGAAGACATTTGAAATTCATGACGAATCTAAGAAATTACTCCAAGTTGAGGACTGGATTCTGTGCATTTGTTCGGTGTTTTTTTGATGGTTTGATCATATTTGGGGATTTTTTATTGTGAAAAGATGTGAAAAACATAGTTGGGATGATGATCCCCAATTGACCAGCACATTTTCCCAATACTTCAAGCACCCAGAGGAGTTATGGCCAGAGGGACCCCTTGGTGGAATACAAACTTGAGGCCTACAAGACCTTTCAGGTGATGATTGGGAAGATCCGGCGTGACACCATCTACTACCTCTTCACATTCCAGCCCCGGCCCCTCCGGCCTGTAGAAACCGAGGCAGGCCTCGGCGAAGGCGAAGGGGAGCTTGTCCAGGTGCCATCAAACTTAGATGAAAAGGTGCGTAGCTACTTGCGAGGCTTGCCGCGGCCATTGGCCAAGGTGGGGGGTCCAAGATTGAAAAGCCCTTCAGAAGCGCACATTTGGATCATTTTGCAGTCGAATCCGGATTTCGGTGACTACTGTATGTACACGCTATTTTGATGATTAAACCTCAGGTATCGGATACTATTGATGGTCAAAATCCTAGTTTCATCATTCTTCTCAGGTGACGCCCTACATAAATTTCTGGGAAAGCTAAAAACCCCAATATACATCAATATAAATGTTGTCAATATCTTTGAATTGTTCTCGTAACATTCCCCTCACCAAAATCCCCCAAGATGAAAAAACATAGGACATGATCTAAAATCATGGTTGTCCACCAAGATGTCAAACAGATTTCCCTATCGAAATCCAGCGTTTCCCCAAAGAATTCCTCCACAGGTCTCCGACATCGCGAAGCTCTTAGAGCCCGACGGGCTGCGGAGTGACGACCAGCTGACGTGGCTCGGCTCCTGCGACGGAGTCAGCGTCTTGGAGGATTCCTTCGCGCGCGCGAGGTATGTGAGCCTTGACGCGGGTGTCTGATGGTGAATTCAACGGGAAACAATATGAAAAAAAAAATCGAACTATGGATTATAATGGTAACTTTGGATATGGTTATGGATTGGGAATTTTAGTAGTTGAGCTATCCCAAAACAGCACTTTTCAGGTTAGTGGATTGAGTTGAGCCAGTTAAGCAGGAAAAAACCTGGATGATGAATGGGAATGAGAATCATGGAATTATGCTATTATATTTTGTTCTGATTGGTTGGTACGCAGAAATGGCCAAGTGCTGAAACTTGGACATAGTTGATGTCCATCTAATTTCTGGTCAAAAGAACATTATGTTCTAAATTGATTGTCGTATTGCTATACGGATGGGTTTGCATAATCCAACTTGGCAAAAGATTGGTTTTGGATCATCTAATCATTGGTTTTTGCATGTTTTTGCAATCAAAGTTGGTATTTTACCAGGTAGATACCAATGGCTATGGCTCAAACTTGGAAGTTGGATGATGTGAGCAAGCTATTCAACCAGTAGTTGATTTCCAGACGTTGATTTCTTAATTGCGGAAGGTATAGCAGTTCTACATGATATCAATGTCCCAGTGATTTTTTTTTAGAACATTGTAACATTGGATGATTCTAAAAAATGGTCACTCCCTTTTTCCACCTGATTGAAACATCAAATATGGGCACGGTTCAAAATTGGGACATCATTCTGAACTCAAAATTCTGGTTGGTTATTTGGTCGCTCCTCCGGGCTATATGATTTCGAGCCGGGGCCGTTCCCAGTGAACATTGATTATATAATCTACAGTATCGCCCCTATATTGGTTCCGTTCATTTGTAGATGATTTTCCACCAAATGATGTTTTCAAGTGTTAATCCCTTCAATCGATCATATTTGATAGTATACATATATATCATATATATATATGTGTGTGTGTGTGTTTGATCTATATTTGATACATTTGATGTAGATGATGTAGAGACTCCCTAACTGAAAGCCTGATGGAATGGATCTATTCTGATATCTATTCATTTTGGGTCCATTGCTGGCTGTGACATTCCAGGCATGGGCTGAATGCTATGGTATCTATGGTGTGCTAAAGTGGGATGGGGCAAAACCTATGATATCATTCTTGAGGGGGATAGAAGGACCAAGAAGAAACGGAACAAGAAGCGAGCCATTTCAGCACCCGCGGAAACAAAGGCTTTTGGCGCGACAAGAGCGCATAGATCCAAAGAAACAAAAAAAGGCAGTGAGGATCGCAACGACGAAGGGTTGAGATGGGTATCTTTGCTGGATCCTTTTTGGCAAGACGTAGGTGTGTCTGAAAATAGGGTATACCAATATAACCATTTAGTAGGAAAACTGAGGATTAGCCATCATTAGCCATTGAATTTTGCTACCAAAGAGGATGTCCATTTGAAATCCGCCACCAAGCCATTGACGGCTTATTGGAGAGGTTCGCAACGCGAACGCACGTGGATCCGAGAACTGACTCGGATCCTATCACTGTGATTCCACCTTGAACTTTGCAAACGGGTAGCCTTGGTTCGGTTCAAGGTGAAGCAGCTGTGAGATCTTTCATTCTTCAGCAAATAAACACAGTTGTAGCTAAGTAGCCTATCTTCAACAGCATCATGTCACAGAGCCTAGGGAAACAGTGAGCTGTGAGCTGTGGATAGCTGTGGGGAACATGCCCCAGGTCTCTGAAATGGCAGTGCCAGCAGTGCCAGTGGATCGCGGGCCGCCAGATGCTAGTCATTTGCTCCGCCCCAGCAGGCAACACGAGAGGCCTGCCCCGTTGATGTCTGAGGTCTTTCGGACGATGCTGAAAAAGCACATTCACGTTGCCTTCAAACGGCGACGGCTTCTGACTAGCTTGTGGCCTGCGATCATGTACAGCATCATCAGCATTGTCCTTTTCAGGATCTTTGCACAGATCGATTCAGGTAACATTCGAGCCTTGCTTTTGGCATTGACGATCCCATTGTATTTGTTGCTCGCCGTGCAATCTGCTCTGCAGAATGCTATGGCTGAGATAGTGACTGAGAAAGAATCCAAGATGAAGATTGTCCAAGAAATTTACGGCCTCACCCCTACCATGTACTGGCTTTCCTGGGCCGGTTACTTCTCCATCGTCTCGTGTCTATGTGTGTTAGCGATTTATGTCCTACTGGCTTTGGTGGCACCGGTGATGGGGAAGTCTTCTCCCATATTCGTGATTTGTCTCCTGGATGGATTGTAGCCATACATTTCGATTTTCAAATATGTTCAGCCGTGTTTGGGGATTGGATGGGTTGCCAATGATGTTAATCTATGAATCTGTTCCCATTACAGTATATCCATGTATATCCATGTATATCCATGTATATCCATGTATATCCTGCTTAATGCTTGGTTTCATCCCCATTTGTCTAAAATGTCTATCCAATATGCACCTTCAATAGCAGAAAAATATAGATAATATAGACAAGTCCTCACTTAAAGATACTTAAAGCACATCAATAAGCACAAACACAGGTCTTCTGGTCCTTTCCTACCTTCAGCAGTTTGAGTTCGCCGCCATCGTCTCGGTCTTCTTCAACAAGCTGCAAACGGCCACCGCGATGTCGGGCTTCGTTAATCTCTTATTCCTCTTGTCACTGGATCCATGGGCTGCGTCATTTTTTTTATCCCTATGGAACTTGGAGAGTCTGAAGAATCCTGGGGAATGCTGAAGCTAAAATGTTTGAAAAAGTCTGGGAAGATTTTCCAGACACCAAAAATGAATAGAAATGAATATACCCTCTGGTAAACTAACATAGCTATTGAACATGGCCATTTATAGTGGATTTAACCATTAACAATAGTGATTTTCCATACTAGTAGCTATGTAAACGTTTACCAGAGGGTAGACATCACAATTCACAATTCACTCATCTTCGATCCAACCCCTTGGACCCAGGTTGGCCGAAGCTATGCAGGGCTGGCTACGCGGAGGCTCCAGGTTCTGGTGGTATCTTGGAAGTTTGCTGCCGGCGGTGAATATCTTCAACGGCTTTGCCGCGGTGATGTTCAGTGAGGCAGGACCCACAAATTGGATCACATTGGATTGGTAGGGCTGAAAGTTACAACTTTATATAATCATCTCTATTTTATGTGGTCGGATGGGGTCTGATTTGGGGGGCAGAAAAGAAATGGATAGGACATGACAGTAAACGCTGAACATTTCTATGTCTACCTTGTCTGGTCACCCGAAAATTGGATGTAAGATTTGAGAAACTCCGATGATTCACCGTCGTACTTTTGTTGGACCTTGATATTTGGGGAGGTTCTTAAAATTTGGGATCCCCAAGTCACCACGGGTTTCAATACCTAAGTCTTAAGTCATGGTCTAATTTAGATGATTTAGTGGTACCCCCATGACTTTTAGGATAAACCTGCAGAATTTCGATGCCTGAGGCCTTGTACTACTGCGATGAGTCGGGCTGTTATCAGGGCATCAGCTCGAAGACAGCCTTCGCCAGCCAGTTCTGCTTCGTGCCCTACGATGAAGCTCATGGGAGCCCATGCCCCCAGTGGTTTCCGGTGTTCTCTGCCGGGGAGTCGATGATCATGATCCTGTTGCTGGCTTCGAACGGTGGTATCACCTGCTCATATTGGGAGTATATAAATTAATAGGAGCCGCCAATGTATCCAGAAGATTCCAAGGAAGCATAGAGATCATATAGCTGGATAGCTTTACCGGTTGATTGGTTGGAGAAATGTTTTGAGTTTCCATTCCCTTGAAGGTTGGGATCTTCGCTGGAATGGCTGGCATATATCATATGTGCGAGCCCCACCCAGGGGACCCAGGACCCACAAGCTTGAGTAGTTGAAAAAAAACAGTTGTTTGATGCAAAAGAAAGGCAATTTTGCTACCTTATCTATTGAATCTATTGGGGATCATCATAGTCCAGAGTCCCTCATCCTTTTCATATTACCATACCACCAACATTACTTGGGCAAGTGTCCACTAGGTTTTGACGCTGCTTACTTGAGTCCCCGACTTGTTTTTGGTGAACATTTACAGAACCCCCCCCATCTTTATAATGGATCATCGGGTTTCCATTTTTTTCCCGTCGATTTTCCTTCAGCCCAACCCAGGAATAGGCCAGGACTATTCCTGGGATTTCCTGCCATGTGTTGCTGCTGGAAATCCTGGAAACCCCCCCGCGAAAACCACCCGATGATCCATTGAGGTTGGATATCGTTCTGTATGGCTTTGGAGCCTGGTGGTTGGAGCAGGTCTGGCAAGGGGATTTTGGCCAAGCCAAGCCCTGGTAGCTTGACGCAATCACATGTTAACAGGTTAACTAGGGTTTATGGATGTTTATGGGGGATATTAGTGATGTTAATGGGTTTAAAACCCAACTTATAACATGGTATAAATGGGGGGCCTCACTGTGTGTTATCTTGATGTACCCTCTGATTATTTCACAGTTTGCTATGGACAGTGGCCCAGTTAGTTCGATGATTTACCTACTAACAAATGACAATTTTCAACATTTTCAATAGCAAAGTGTTAAATTACCAGATGGTATTTTTGCATATCTTCTGCTGGGCATCACGGAAAATTGTTGATTTTGCGATGACTTCTGTTCTCTTCAGAATGGCCCCAAAATGTGGGAAAATGTTCCTGACATGGCTTCAAACTAGCTCCACCCAGAGGAGTTCTTGAGTTTTCCCAACCTTTTTCAGACGCCAATTTGTTGGGCAATTTCGCCAAAACCCCTCAGGTTCTGCGGACTTAGTGGTCAGTCATACTGTATTGCTATATGCAACACTTTATGACATATTGACTTAATCTATTGGGAACACCAAAATTTCCTTGGGCCATGTGTTTTTCAACAACCAGTGCATAAAAATCAGTGTTTTCCCATCATGTTCAGACTTAACCAGCTTAAACCTACGTATTTTTCCTTAAAGTTTTCAGGGACTTGTTGATCTAGATTCTTATTTCTTGGTTATACCATGTTATACCGTTATACCACGAGTATACCCCTGTAAATCCCCATTGATCACATTTGCTTATATAAATCTCTTGAGAAAACTTAGGAATCTTGAATATCTTGGGCCATATATTTTCAAAAAGCAGACTATATCCCCATAAATCCCCATGAAACTCCCATAAATCACCATAAATCCCCTTAAAAATATCATTCATCACCATAAAAGCCTATCATTTTAAATCCCCATAATCCCCATAGAATCACCAAAAAACAAGCATCAAAATCATCAAATCCCTGAATTACCATCCAATCCCGGGAGTCCTCAGGTTGTTCTGCCTGGATCCAGCCTACATGTGCCCCCGGCGTCATGGACGTCGCGACAGTCGCGACGCGGCGCGGAGCTTGGTGCAGTCCGATGGCCTACAGGAAGCCTTGGCCATGAAGATTCGACAGCTTGCTGAATTCAAGTCATTTTTTGATTGATATGTTGTCTATATGGGATAAACATATGGGATTTATATGGGATTTACAATAGTTTGTGTATTTATATAATATTTATTTTTATTTTATTTGGTTCAATAAATGTTCTCTACATATGGGATTCATTATGGTGTATATATATACATATATCATTACATAATTATATATATATATCTACATAATATAATAGGATTTATCATGATATATTTATGTGATACCGAATGTTATCTACATATGTATGCATAAATATGTATAGAATTTTTATATTTATTTGTTTTAAATATGTTAGTGATGTTAGTCTTCTCACTGCAGGAGAGACTTGGTATTTTTCAATTCATCTATAGATGGTGATTGAATATCTAGGAATATCCCCCAAAATTCATCCCCTATGCTTACTTATAGCTGGGCATTTAAACAATCGTTAATGGGGATATTATGGTAAATATAACAATGTTTTTACTGTAGTAGTCCACCGAAAAATAGAAGCTGATAAAATTCTACTAAAGTAGATGTAAATTATTTTTTCTATTTTTTTGGGTGGTACTATGTATACTGTATTATAAATTAAGGCAGATTTGGATGGATAGACAGATGCCTCAGAATATATGATGTACTTTTGTGTTTGTGTTTTTCCCACGGCATTTATCTAGATCATCACAAATTACTAATTCATGTGTGGTTTTTATATTGCATCTCCCCAAAATTGGAGATGGCTCCACAATGTGGGATGGCTTTCATCCCCAAGTGACAATATATACACTGTATATTATATATATAGTCTAGTTTTTTAAATGTCCTGGTCTCCTGGCCCAGCAGTCCACTAACATAGATATGGAAAATCTATGAACATCTGCCATTTGTAAACCATTTCCGAAGTGAAACACTCATGGGTTTTGATAGCTTAGTTTACTAGAGGATAGAGCCCCATGTTCTGAGGGTGAAATCCCTATTTTGGTTGGTTACATCCCATTAACATCCCATTAATGTTGGTTACCAACCAGGAAATCTTCGGAAAGTCTTCCCGGAGGGCAAAGTTGCCGTGGATGGCATGGATTTAGACATCAAGGAGGGCGAGATCTTCGCACTGCTCGGGCACAACGGCGCAGGGAAGACAACGTGCATCAACTGTGCCTGACTGAAAGGTTTAGGATCCAAAATCATTCATATCCATTTAACCATAATGGAATAATTTACCAGAGGATATGTTAATATTTGCGATATCAACTGATAGTAAATCATTATAATATGTTAATATAAATGGAAATTTAACAAATGATATTGAACATTGCCATTGTTGATTTTTACCCATTAAGAATATAAAACAGGATGATTTCCGTTAATCACTGGATGGGTTGAAGGGAACATCTTCACTGGAAACAAATGTTGTTTTCATCATTTTTAATGGGTATTGTTCCCATTAAAAGGACCAATTTCTTGGTGAAGAAAATGGTATTGGTACCCTTTTTTCAGACGCACCCGAATCATGATAATCATGTCCACCCCCCCAAAAAAAAGCAACCGAGGTGTGGTAGGCCTTATTCCGATGACAAGTGGGGAAGCTATGGTCTGTGGCTATGATGTGCGGACAGAACTGGAAAGCGTGCGTCGGAACATCAGCGTGTGCCCGCAGGACGAGAAAAGGATGGTTTGTTACATCCCACTGGGTACTGATGTATAAAATGGTTTCTTCATATCTTGATATATCTTGTATATCGAATCTAACCCGAGCTTTGAGTTGATATCATTTGATATCCACCGCCAGGACAACCCTCTCTACGATGTCTTCACAGTTCGTCAACACTTGATGTTCTTTGCCAGCCTGAGGGGTGTCAGTGAGCAGGTCCAAGAGACCCGAGTCATTGAGGTTTTGAGAGCACTAGGAGCCTCGGCTCGCGAAGCATAGTGGGCCCCTGGGGTATGGGTGGGGTCCACGGCAAAGCAGCGGATTTTGGGGTGTCGGAAGCAGCTGATGAGGGGTTGTTGTTTGGTTCACCATTCTCGTCACAGGCTTCAAAGTGGTGGTGTAGATTCGAACACCAAAATCAAGGCCAAATGTTTGGTTCCACTACTACGGTTTTGCGACATTTTTTGCATTTTTTCCATTCTCTCGTGGCCCAAACATCATTGTTACCCTCTGGTTAATTATTCAACATGGCTATGGAACATGACCCATTTATAGATGTTTTTTGATGATTTATATACCTATTAACATTTACCTATTATATGCATTTTACCTATTAACGTTTACCTATATATTGAGTTTTGTGATTTTCCACAGCAAGAGTGTATAACCAGAGGGTAATTGATCATTTTAATCCAATTTTATGGTTCAAATCGCCTTGTTTGCAAAACAACTGCGCTTGGTTGTTTGTGAACTCATGCCATTCCGTCTGAAGCCCAATGAACCGATTCCAGCATTGGTTTGCCAAAGGCTTATCCCTATGAATGGTACTTAAAGACATGGTGTTCAGCACGTTTCAAGCGCTTTCCCTAAATTTCTCCCCCGGGTCTCCCTTTGTTTCAGGTATTGAGGAGAAGGTGGACCAGCAATGCACCACTTTGTCGGGTGGTCAGAAACGTCGGCTGTGGGTGGCCAGCGCTTTACTGGGCGACATCCCGGTGATTTTCCTGGACGAACCCACCAGCGGCATGGACCCGTCCAGCCGGCAGCACTTGTGGAAGCTGCTCTTGGAGATGAAGTCCACAGGATCGCTGGATTGCTGGATCGGGCTTGGAGCTGAGACTTTTTCCATGTTCAAGATGTGTTTCATGTAACGTGGTTTTAAAAGGTTGCATATATATACACATATATATAATAATAAGAATAATAACGATAATGATAACAAGAAGAATAAGAATATTAAGAATGATAATAACAATACTAATAAGAACAATAATAATAAAAAGAGTAATAATAATGCTAATATATATATATATATGTATGTATACTGTTATACTGTATGTATAGTTCTGGAGTTCTGGTGGGCATGTAACAAGAACATGTAGAGATGCGACATGATGCGAAACTGGTTTGTAATACCGTGATGAACTATATATACTATATATACACAAGTGTGTGAGCTACCAAAACTCCGGACACAACAGGACAATCCATTTGAATCCATTTGAGGGATTTGTCACTGCTGAAGCTGCGTAACCTAGATTTTTGCTGGTTGGCGGTCAATTTTCCACAGAAGAAACGCAACCATATTACTATCCTGATTTTTGGAGATCAATCAGATCAGTTTATTTGTTTCAACATCTTTAAACCATGACGAGTTTTCTGCTTGGACCGTCCTTCAGTTTCCAGGACGGTCCATCATTTTCACCACGCACTACTTGGAAGAAGCAGATGTGTTGGCAGATCGGAAGGCCGTGCTGGCGCGAGGCCGCGTTGAGGCCGATTTTTTTTTGGGGGATGGCATCGGCGAAGATGAAACTTAAGCATCCTTCACTATCCTAAGGGATATGTAAGTCCGATAACATATATGCAATATCATATAACATCATTTAACATATTTAATATAATCTACAGTAATATCTTTAGTTGATGGGTTCAGAAAGTTTCATGAAAACATGATCGTTATCCTTGGGGATCATCAGTACCCTCCACGCCAACATGGATGTGGCATCATGGATCCGTCCTAGGGAAACCGTCGTTTGTTTCTTCCACATCTACTGTATGTTCGTTTACCCCAGGGTACCCTCTGGTACACATACAAAAAGCTATTGAAAATGGCCCAGTCGAAATAGTTGATTTACCATGATTTACCCATAGAAATGGTGATTTTCCATAGCTATATTAGTTTACCAGAGGGTCATTTGCTCATGGCAATGATGATTCAGCTCGACATGGCAGGCCTCTGGTACATCACTGGATCTCAAGCTCCAATTCGGGCTTGGCTATCAGCTCCAGTTGCAGTTTCCTGGATTGATCGGATACTTTTTTGTCCCATTAGTACGTGAAACCATGACTGGGGAATCTAGAGGGATCTGCAAAAGACGTCATGGTTTCACCATTTGTGGATCATGTTCCATGGGCCATCTGCAAATCCCCCGAGGTTTCCAGATGGGGTGGTTCCTGATCCCAAGGCCCGGCTACTGGAGCATCCTCACATGGAGCCTCACATGAGAAACTCTGTTTCTTGAGAAAACAAGCCATCATATTAAAATATATTAAAATATATCAAATAACATATGGAGAGAGAGATTATATACGGTATAATTCATTGTCATTCCTGTTTGAATCTGTATGATATATGTGGTTGATGGCTAAATCTGTTAAATTATGTTTAATTTTCCAGGTCGGAAGTGGTCATTCCGTGAAAGAACATAATGAAGATGACTTACTACAAAATATGAGTCATTTCCAGAAATGGTTGAAGGAATTTTTTACCGGAGACATCCATTGAGTCATATAAAAGAATCTGTTACATTACTACAGGTACTGATTATAGGATAAGGATAAGTCTAAGAATTACAATACTGGTCGGTGGTTTCAAACATTTTTTATTGTCCATTTCATATATGGGATGTCATCCTTCCCGTTGACTTTCATATTTTTCAAGATGGTTATTGCCCCACCAACCAGAATAATACTTAATCTTACATGGTTGGTGGTACTAAATACTACCAAATTAGTACTAAAGGTAACCATCTTAGTATTTACCAGTAACTAACACTAATCCCACATGTACTAAATACTAGCAAATTAGTAGTGAGCTAATTCAACCCTTTCAAGGCGGCAAATCCATCGAGGCGCTGTCTGATGTCTCAGAGCTCATCGTGAAACACATCCCCTTGGCCACACGGAAGGAAGAGGTGCGGACTGCCGATGACTGCCGTGGTGCATGCGGTTTATGTTCAGGGGAGCAAAGACCAGCCCTAGATCAGTAGGGTCTAGATCAGTAGTTTTTTTTTTTTAATATAGGAAAAATCTATATAAGAGCTTTAGTATTGCCCTGATTCCCAAAAGTCAGAAACAACATGTTTTCTGAAAAATCCTAAGGTTTTTAGAAACATTCGAGAAAGTTTAGGAGGGGCAAAAGAGTTTGAAATTATCAAGTGATCAAGTGCCAAGTGCAGGGAAAGCATTCCAGTGATCAAGTGCACAAGTGATCCAGTGCCAAGAGGAGAAAATCTGCACATAGACCAGATCTCAGGAAAATTAACAAATAATAGGCCATCACACTCAAGCAAGAGCAACTAAGTATTTCAGCAGTTTTGCAATGCTCAAAAACCAAACCCTTCATCATTCACATCATGCATGGCATTCCACCACACTCTTTTTCAACTTAGTGAACTTTTGACCTGGTGGCACTTGAATTTACAAGCGCAAGCAGGCAGAGAATTTGGTGGCAAGTCCACTCACCAAGAAACAAGTGGACATTGAATGTGCAGGAATTTGCTAGGCTAACTTGGCAAGTGCAGCTTACTGGCGCCTGTAAGAGGATAGAAACAGATCAGCAACTTCAGCTCCAAACGCACGGGTGTAAATGCCAGATGCTGCCAAGGGCCCCTTCAATCCAGAGAATTCATAACAATGTACTCTTGCTGGTACAGCTTTGTACATGAGGAAAAAAGCACTTCCACAAGTATTTCGGGAACAACCTCAAGCCCCACCCCAAAACAAAACATGCTGGGTCGCACCCTTTGGTTGCCAGCTGCAACCGTCTGCTGCTCCAAGTCTTGCTCCAGCAAGTGCTACAGGAAAAGGAATTAGGCAAAAAAGCATCTCGGAATCTTCTATCCAACGGACATTCATTGATATTGCCATAAGGTTTTCCAAGGGAATTTGCAAGAAGCACTTGGTCAAGTGGTAGCAAGTGGTTCCTTCAAGAGAGTTTACCTTTCCCTAATTGTATCTTTTTTTCAAAAAAACATTTTTTCCGGAAACATATTCTTTCTGACTTTTGGGGAATGCTAAAAACCCCAATTGATCCCCTGCCCTACTGATCTAGGGCTGGCCCTCGACATCCTGACATGTGGATTCTTCAAACGTGGGGGTACCACCAAGGCATTTTTAATGGGGAAAATAGTGAACAGTCGTCCAAGTTTGCAGGGCCTCCCCTAATTTCAGACCAAACCATTCGTATTCATCGGCGGGGCCCACAAGGTTTCCAAAACTGATCATGCCCGACTAAGACAAAGAAATAGAAAATGCAGCTAGAATCAGAACAGAAAGCAATGATAAATTTGTTTCTGTCAGTTTCTGTTGGGGATCCCTGTCACCTCCAAGTAGATGGCAACCATGAGGAGCTTGCCACTGTCCAGTAACTCAAGTCATCTCCTCTTCTCGCTGGTGATGTTCCGTATGCAAGTTGTCGGTTACATTCCATTTTTTGTCTAATTATACAATGATGAATATACATGCATTTTAATTTGCAAATTTGCCATATGTGTCTCTAAATAGACATACATGCATATATATATATATATATATTAATATATATATATAAATACATTGTGCGTGTTTTTGTGTTTGTGGGTGGTGAGTGTTCGTTTACGGACATATCACGCATACCAATCCTTGTTTGCAGGACGCCGCAAGTGTCAGCACGGAGCGCCGCGTCGCGTCCTGAGTGACGTTTGAGTCAGGCAGGGGTCTAGGAAGTTGATTTGCATCACTGAAAATGGGAATTTAACCTTAACCATCCAAAATGGAGATTTAACCATCACTATCACAATTACTGTATATAAATATTATCATGATTCAACTGAAAAAAAGGCGAAATTGGGATTCACAATCCAATTATCCATAATTGGTCGGGGTTAAAGACCAACTTATAGCTTCAAGGCCCTTTTTTGTAGCATCCAAAAATCATCAAGAAATGGACCCGTATATGGGAAACCTATGGTAAATCAGGATTTTTCCTATAAACCGTGGGGTTTCCTGCAATTGTTTTCTCAAAACAATTTCAGGAAAATTAGGCGTTCTGGAAGGGAGGTATTTTGGACGTTTCCGCACTTTGGACATGCCAAATGTGATGGGACTGGGTTATTATTCATTGTTAATCGATGATTAAATAGTGGTTAATTAAGTACTGGTTGAATGGTTGATCATCCAACCTTGGTGATATCTATATCTATGTCGGACATTCCAAGGATTTGGCAAACCAACACACGCAGGGCGTTGCAGTGCTGAGGAGCATATCGTGGCATTTACATTGGCCTTTGACCAGGCACTGGGTGATGTCACTTTCTGATTGGTTGCTATAGGGACTTATATTATCTTATATTACGTAATTTACTGGGGATTATGATAATCCAAAGGAGGGGAACTTATCAAACAACTAGTATAATGAGATAGGATCAGGGTATTTTTAATTGCTCACTTTTTACATGTGACATACATGTTCAATCACTTTGGCTTGAAGTCATCCTAATTTTCCAATGTTATCCATCCGAAAATCCGGATAACACCAGCAGTTTTGCAACCAACAATGGGTAATACCGACCTCCGCTGCTTCACCAGAATCACCCCGTAAAGGCCAGAGGGGGACATCGGTGGCGTCAGGTGTTCTTGCAGCTGATTTGTTCATGTCTAGAGATATAGTCACACACTCCTAAATCCCGCACATAATCTATTATTAATATGATAATATTAATTATCATACTTAGATAATCCTGATTAATCCCTTATCCATCACATAGTCCATGATAATCCCTTCCTCTCAATATTGCATACCCTCAGTTGGGAACACCTGCGTGTTTGTGTTGGATCTATTCACTTGAGCCCCAAAAAACGTGGTATTTAAAATTTTGGGGAGGGGATTCTTGGACTCAAGGTCAGCCAAGGTATTCCTATATTCCCATGGTCCCATGATATATGCACTATCCATTAAGTCATCCTACCAACTTCCAGGCTGGGAGGGTAACTCGTTGTCGCCAGGTGGATAAGTTCGGGCCCATGCTCATCGAACTGGACAGTAAGAAGCAGGCTGAGCTGGACGTCAGATGTTTTTTCTGGTCTTTCAAGCAGTAAGATAATGGTTAACGATGGTGATTGATGGTTAATAACAGTTAAAGTAATCATGATGATTAATGGTGATCAATGGTGATTAATGGGGATACCCTTTGGTTATTTAACGTAGCGAACTGGAAAATCACCATTTTTCATATGTAAATCTGTAAATCATCATTTTATCTTCCATAAATTACGCCTCTACACCATAGCTAGGTGAAATAACCAGAGGGTAACTTGGCTGAAGAAATTCAAAACATGTGAAAACTACTGGATGGGATTACAACCACATACTTTCGTTTTTTAGTGTTTTCGTATTTGGTGGATTTAATATCTGATACTAAAACTAAAAGAGGGGGCCAACAGACTAGCAAGACCAAGGTGAGCAGAATAACTAATAGCAGAATTAGCAGAATTTTGATGATTTAGTCATATTTCCTCCAAATTGTTGACTTAGTAACTTAAGTTAATTTGGATCTGCGGAGTGTTTAAAATCGGTGTGTGATTTTAGCATCATGGTTGCGACGTGTTCAATCCCCTTGATTGGGGGTAACAATCAAAGCCTCAAATTTTGGTATCAACCATCGGGGGGGTGCATATATAATATTATATAATCATCATTTAGTTACATAGGCAAGTAAAGTTTTAAAGCCAGAATCATCATAGGGATGTTGTGAATCATGTGCCAGAACCATCACGTTTTTCATCATCATATGACAAAAAACTGTTTCATGGATCAACATTGCTTGAAATGGATAGTGACTTAGTGTATGTTCGCATATTTTGCCATCAACCCGGAGTTCTTGGCCAACGACTATGGAGGTACAACGTGGTGTTGTTGGTTATAATCTCAGTTTGCTTGCAGTGTCTCATAACCCGAAGATTTTGTCTCTATAATGGATATCGGAGTTGCATTTCGTTGATATCACAACTATTTTTGATGGTTTTTGATCACTACTTTAGTCGCATCTTACTCTTCTTTGTTTTTGGGATTGCTATAATGCGGGTAAAACAATAAGCAATCCCCCAAATCACAATTTTTATAGGTGGTATCTTTACCATTCCCAAATGGGTGGCTTATGGCATTGGTTTAGCCACATAATTGCAGTGCGACGTGTTCGTTCATTCAACAATATAATTACATATATTTGTGTATATATATATATTACGCATGCCATCAGCAACACTTGAAGGAGACAACGCTACTTCCGGATGCCAATGCGCCGCATGATACACCTGTAACTTAACGCGTAGTCGAGCACAGTGTTCACATTCTAAGGATATAAATAAATTATATGATAATATACGATAATCGTACTGATCGATCGATCAATCAATCAATCAATCAATCAATCAATCAATCATCAGCTTCGGAGTTGTCCCTTCCCTTTGTGGCCATTTCTTTTCAAAGAGCCGTTTTGGCACAGCTAGAGCCGCCGGGCACTACATTTCAGGAGCGGAGGGAACTCAGCGGGGTCTGAAACAACTGGAAGATGTTGGATTCATTTTTGAATTGCTTCACTGACAGGAAAACCTTTGGATATATTTGGATGATTTTGGATGTTTGAAACCCATTCTTAGCTGCAACATGTCAAAAACCTGTGGACCTGTGAGTTTGAACCTGTTCAGATGGTAGAAACATGTAGAAATTCGTGGTGAACCGTGCCATTTTTCAGTCGGAGGAGCTGAGTCCAGGATCTTTGGTAGCCATGGACAAGACCAAGAATGCCATGAGCCTGAAACTGAGCCACCGAAGTGTCCGGAACCAGCTTGGGATGGTATCCAGGATTGGCCATGGGTCGAAAAACTAGGGGCTTCAACGGTTCAACCAAGCCAGCTCGGGATTTTACCAACAGAAATGGGGATTGAAGCCTTCAGTTTTGGATTTTGACATTGGATATACTGAAACAACGTCATACAAATTGTCAAATTGCGGTCAAACAAATTGAGAAACAAAGTGCTGGTTGGGAATCCTAATCTAATAAGTGGATGTTTGAATGGGGCATTCTTCATTTCCATCTAGATGGTATAACCTCTGTCAAGATGCATCAAACTGGATGATGGATAGGTAGGGACAGGTATATATACATATGGATGGATATGGATGGATATGGATGGATATGAATTTGGGTCATTCAAGGTACCAAAGTGGTGATGGTTAGATGCTTCAATGCTCAACCTTTTCCACCAAGGGCGGCGGACTGGATTTTACCCACTGGTTGGTGTAAGGGATCGGGGGCTGATATGAATGGCTTTGGATTCTGAAAGTAAAATCAAACATGGCAATCAAATTCATCGTGAACATCATCTATCAATGGGTATACGGTATACTAATTACGTATGTAGGAGCTTGAACTTCATCATACTTCATCCACATGTTCAAGCGGACGATGATGTAATCGGTGATCTGAGATCACAGTGAGATCATCTTAGATCTTCATTCCCAGGAGAAAATCTGCCAGAAACTCGAAGCTATTACCCTCGGGCAATCAAACATGGCAATGGATTTCCCCATATTTCCCCCTTCATTTTTTGATGATTTTCATGGATTTCCCCAGTAAACCCTCCATTACTTCGGGGATTTCCCAACCACATTTGACTGCCGGAGGGTAACTGTAAATATCCATGGCTGAGGCGAAGGAGAATCATGATTAATCTGCCAGAAACTCTCATCTATTGATCATTCCGTAAATCACCATACCATCATCAACCATTAAAAAACGAAAAAAATGAAAAAAACATATCTACAAATAATACCACTAGTATGAAGCATCTACAACCTCTACAATAGAAAAAACACCAGTATTAATACTGAATGAACCATCTATTTTTCATGGTCTGATTGATTTTTGACCACCAAAGCCTGCTGTCAACTCCTTCCAAAACCATGGGTGAGGCCCAGAAGAGCAGCTGGAGGATCTACAGCGACGCTTCACCCTACTGGAAGGTGAGCGCAAGGCGATCTCAACGGGTGCTGGGGGATAGCGGATATCAATGGATATCATGGGATGGCCCGGCAGCTGCTTGGAAAGAGGGAATATCCGATGTTGGGGCTATTTTGGTCATTTTTTGTCCCTGATTTTTTGAATCCAAATTTCATTTTAAGGTTGGAAGGTTTGTCGAGCTTGTGGGAGAAAACGGGGCATTTCAGCGGCCTTATGTACGCAGGTTTATCTGTGGAAATGGCCGGACATGTAATTCGACCAGTAACATGGATGTGGCAATTGCTTCGGGCGATCAAAGTGGCGATTCAGCGTATATTTCCTCCAGTAATTCAATGTGACCAGCTCAGAAATTCACCATGTCAAGCTAACAACCTGCCTAACTGTTTATCTATGGGAATGCTTCTGTATCTTGTTTTTTTCTTTTTATTTTGCCTTCTTTGGATTGCCAGAGGGTATGGTGGAAAAATATCAAGAAGAACGAAGGCCGAAGGCGTTGCAGGAGGATTTGCCTCACAGTTCATGCTGAAAGGCGACCTACGAGACTGCCAAACTCAACATCCAGCAGAACAAGGACTGCATGTCCTGGATTTCCTGACCGTTTTATTAAAGTGTTCCAATCTTTTCCCATGGGGTTCACCCACTATTTTGCAGAATCTATCGGAAGTGTGTAAATTGTGTGTTTAATTTGATTACACCAAATCAGCAAATCAGGGTATGGATCAATACCTATTAATACCATTTTTAGTGGGATGAACATCCATTTACCAGCTATTTTGGGGTTCACCAGGGGTACAGGGTTTTGACCCATCCCCAGTTGGAGTCCGACAGCTCTCAGGAGATCATCACCCAGATGAAGGAAGAGAACAAGACCCTGAGGTCGCTGGATCCCAGCCTTCCGCTGACATCCGCTAATAGGGCCATTAGCTAGTGAAAACGGCCATTTATAGTGGATTGTCCCATTAAAATAGTGATTTTCCATAGCTATGTAAACGTTTACCAGAGGGTATATAGAAAAGATGGCCGAAGTAAGCAAATCGGAGGGCTTCCTTTGGGACTTACATCCCCAACAGGAATGTGGATTTGGATGAATTTTGATCATGAGCTCACTGGTTGCAATCACTGGAATGCTGGGCACTGGATCCGGAGAGTCATCACCATATCTGGTTAAAAAAGAATTCAGGTTGGCCTGTTTTTGGATGAATTTGAGCCAGATTCATCATCCTATATTACATATATTCTATTATAGTATGTTATAGTATAATTTAGTATAATTATCATAGTTATGTTGGTGATATCCCCATGATATTCCCATGGTCCTGGTGAAACTCACCAAACATTTCCGAGCTCCAGCAGCTCCGGTCTAGGAACCAAATTGCCGTGCTCCGAGACGAGAAGCCGCTGTCCCTGGAGAAAACCCTGGAGGAGACCATGACCGTGGCCTCTTGGCGGTTGGACATGTTGGACCAAAGGGAAGCCTGATGGTGACAGCTGACTGGAAAACCAGGATTGGCTTGATGTGAAAACATAAATGTGATTGATTGATGTTGAAAATCATGTGAACATTTGTGAATAGAGGATTTCCATGGACGTTTCATTGCCGGGTTAGATTTCCAAGAGGGTAACTGGTGAGTTGGGTTTTGTTGGTTTGGAAGTCCCTATGCAAGGGATTATCACTATGTGGTTTTCAAAACACTAACCCACACAGCTAGTTGGCTGCCGGAGACCCGCAATTACATTCCTTCACACAAGCCTTGCAAAGACCACCCTCTGGTAATCAAAGCTGGCAATGGAAAATCGCCTGTAAATGGCAGTCTTAATAGGAAAATAATCTGATTGTACATGAGGGATTGTCCGGGATTGTCCATTGCCACATTTGATTACCGGAGCGTACACAGTACCTGAGAATCCTAGTGGAACACAACATAGGCCCCATCGTCTTCAGAATGCAGGAGCCGGAACAGTGGTAAAAACGGTTTTCTGCTCATTTTCCCATCATTTCTTCATCCCATTTTGGAAACACTGCCTATAGGATCCCATGTCCTAAAAGAAGTCCCCAAAGAAATCGCCACGAGATCCTGAGGTGCAGAACCTTCAGAGGAAGTGCCATCCTCAGGTCCAGATGGACGAATGATTTGGGCTTAGTTTTTATGATACCTGGTTATCCTGGTTGACTGCTTGGTGGTTTGGAACATGAATGGATTATGACTTTCCATTTATTAATTTATATCCATTTATTGGAAATGTCATAATACCAACTGACGAACTCTTTCATATTTTTCAGAGGGGTAGGTATACCACCAACCAGGATACTATATGAGTATGAACGTGAACATGAATTTGAATATGGACATGATATATATATATGATCGAGGGACCTTCAGGTACTATTTTGTTGCTTTACTCTCCTCCGATTTTCTGTCTTTTGATTTAATTAAATTAATTTAATTAATTTAATTAATCTAATTAATTCAATTAATTTAATTAATTTAATTAATTTAATTAATTTAATTAATTAAATTAATTTAATTAATTTGAATAATTTAATTAATCTATTTTTTTCTTTAATCTAATTAATTTAATAAATTTAATTAATTTAATTAATTTGAATAATTTAATTAATTCAATTAATTTAATTAATTTAATTAATTTAATTAATTTAATTAATTTAATTAATTTAATTAATCTAATTAATCTAATTAATTTAATTAATTTAATTAATTTAATTAATTTAATTAATTTAATTAATTTAATTAATTTAATTAATTTAATTAATTTAATTAATTTAATTAATTTAATTAATTTAATAGATTTAATTAATTTAATTAATTTAATTAATTTAATTAATTTAAATAATTTAAATAATTTAATTAATTTGATTAATTTAATTAATTTATTTTTTTCTTTAATTTAATTAATTTAATTAATTTAATTAATTTAATTAATTTAATTAATTTAATTAATCTAATTAATTTAATTAATTTAATTAATTTAATTAATTTAATTAATTTAATTAATTTAATTAATTTAATTAATTTAATTAATTTAATTAATTTAATTAATTTAATTAATTTAATTAATTTAATTAATCTAATTAATCTAATTAATTTAATTAATTTAATTAATTTAATTAATTTAATTAATTTACTTAATTTAATTAATTTAATTAATTTAATTAATTTAATTAATTTAATTTCTTTAATTAATTCAATTAATTTAATTAATTTAATTAATTTAATTAATTTAATTAATTTAATTAATTTAATTAATTTAATTAATTTAAAGAATTTAATTAATTTAATTAATTTAATTAATTTAATTAATTTAATTAATTTAATTAATTTAATTAATGTAATTAAATTAATTCAATTGAATTAATCTAATTATTTTACTTAATTTTATTAATTTACTTAATTTTATTAATTTAATTAATTTAATTAATTTAATTGATTTAATTAATTTAATTAATTAAGTAATTTAATTAATTTAATTAATTTAATTAATTTAATTAATTTAATTAATTTAATTAATTTATTTAATTTTTTTAATTTCTTTTTTTCTTTAATTTAATTAATTTAATAGATTTAATTAATTTAATTAATTTAAAGAATTTAATTAATTTAATTAATTTAATTAATTTAATTAATTTAATTAATTTTATTAATTTAATTAATTTAAATAAATTAATTAATTTAATTAATTTAATTCAATTGAATTAATCTAATTATTTTACTTAATTTTATTAATTTAATTAATTTAATTAATTTAATTAATTTAATTAATTTAAATAAATTAATTAATTTAATTAATTAAATTAATTCAATTGAATTAATCTAATTATTTTACTTAATTTTATTAATTTACTTAATTTTATTAATTTAATTAATTTAATTAATTTAATTGATTTAATTAATTTAATTAATTAAGTAATTTAATTAATTTAATTAATTTAATTAATTTAAATAATTTAATTAATTTAATTAATTTAATTAATTTATTTAATTTTTTTAATTTCTTTTTTTCTTTAATTTAATTAATTTAATAGATTTAATTAATTAAATCAATTAAATTAATTAAATTAATTAAATTAATAAAATTAAGTAAATTAATAAAATTAAGTAAAATAATTAGATTAATTCAATTGAATTAATCTAATTATTTTACTTAATTTAATTAATTTAATTAATTTAATTAATTTAATTAATTTAATTGATTTAATTAATTGAATTAATTTAATTAATTTAATTAATTTAATTAATTTAAATAATTTGATTAATCTAATTAATCTAATTAATTCAATTAGTTTAATTAATCGTATTACGAAACATGGTAAAAAGTGCCAAAATGCCAAAACGGCGAACAATTGCCAAAATTTGCAAAAGTCACCAAAATTAGCTTATAGTCAAATAAGCAAAAATGACAAATGTTGCCAAGAATTGCCACATGTGGCAAAATTGACCAAATTTGACAAACAAGCACAGCTTGCCAAAACTGCAAAAGCATCCTGAATTTGCAAAGCCTACTATACATTCAAATTTATTCCTTTTGTTAGTGTCGCCTTCTCCAATTTCTATTATGCCTTCTTGTCCTCCAGCATTTTTCCCCTTGCTTTGATGGTACTATTGGCAAGCCAAGTCCAAATTGTCTTTGTTCCACTTTGGGAAAGGACATTGATTAGAAGCCAAAGGAGGGTTTCCTGGAGCACACATGTTTAGGAATGTTATGGCCACTGTTTTTGTCTGATTCAATTCCGCGGTTTAGGCAGTAAAAAATATAGCTTTACACTTTACACATGCGTAAATGGAACATGTGAACAACAAAGGAAGAAGAAGAGGCCGAGGACAAGAAGAAACACTACCCGCCGCACATGCGTTACACCTCACAGGTATTCCACTATATACATGTTCACAGGGTTTTTGCAGGATTTATGTAGGATTTCTTTAGGGTTTCTTTAGGGTTCATTTATGCTTTCTTTAGGGTTAATCTAGGGTTTTTCTAGGTTTTTTATTGGTTTATGTAAAAGAGTGACGAAAACTAATCTTTGGAGACAGCCGAAGATCCGCAGAGGGTCATCAACAACGTCTCTGGGTTCGCAAACCCAAGAGTCATCAAGTTATAACACCCCAACACATTGGAATGCCACAAAGTACTGTAAAGGTCACCAAAAATGAGGGTTCAAGAGAACAGGGAACCAGAACCGAAAAAAATAAGCTGAAGAAGCAAAGCTTCGTGTCATTGTTTGAACATGCACGCGGCAAACAACCTTAAGCCACACACTCTACGAGCAGGATGAGAAACAAGAGCAAGAAGAGGATATGAACGTGAAGAGGATAAAACTAATCGTGAATAGTGTGAATAGTATACTGCGCATGAAAGCCTTCGTTTTGTGATTGTGATGGGGCCCTTGCAATCTTGGAAAGGCAAGGCCAGGAATAAAGAGAACAGCAGAAAAAAATAAACAAAAAAGAGGACCAAACGGAGCTGGAAGAGAGAGATGAAAAAGGGCAGTGGGGAGAGGATCCAGTGTATAGTGTGTATCACGTAACTCACGTATGAAAGGCCCCATTTTGTGCCCATGACAGGGCCCTGTCAACTAGAATCTGAGTTGTTTTTCTGTCTTCTCTTCCCTTTGACCCTTTACATTGTCTTTTTTATTTGTTGTTCCTCCTTTCCATGTCCTTTTTCCGTTTCCTCCTGCCGCTCCTTTTCTCCCTTCTTGTTTCCCTGCTGTGCTATCGTTTCTCCGGTTTGCCTTGTTACATTCCAGTCTCTGTCTCTTCTCTCTTCTTCTTATCCTTATTTGTTTCGTTTCCTTTTTCTATTCCTTTGTTCCTTTCTTTTTTGGGTCTCTTTTCCCAAGGTTTATAGCGCCCTTTAACAGTGCCAAAATGCAGCTTCGTATCCGTTGATTGTTTCCTTTTCCTTGTCATTTGTTTGTTTGCTTCTCCACTTCCATTGTCAGTTTGGGGCCTTCCTTGTTCTTTTTCTTCTTATTTGCCTTCACCTCTTTTTGTTCCTTGTTTCTCCGGTTTCGTAACGCTATCCCTTTTACTCTTTCACTATTTTTTGCACTTCAAGTTTCTCTTTCTCACTCTCTTCCTTGTCAATTTCGTTTCAATTTTCTTCTCCCCTTCTGCTTCCTTTTCTAGTTCCTCTTCCAAGAGTTCTTTTGGCAGCCCCTTTTCCAAGATTGAGTGGGGACCGTTCCTGCACTAAAGCTTCTTTGCTTTAGCAATCTCATTTTCGTTTTCTTATTCCAATTTCACGTCGTTTGTATCTAACCCTTACTCGGTTTTTCATTACAGTATTTCTCCTGTTTGTCTTTTTTCCTTTGCATGTGACTTTTTCCTTATTTTTTTTTAACTTTTCGTAACACTTTCCTTTTTGCTATTTCACTGCTTTTTTCTTTTTCAAATGCACCTTCTTCCTTTGTCTTTATT